TGATGGAATTCCACGGAAGTCTGGAAACATGGGGGCCTTGCACTCCATACCAAATTCCACGAGTTTGTGGTGTGCTGTTGGGAACTAGGCGAACTACCATCAGACCTTCGAGATGCAGTCATCATCACTTTGTATAAGAAGAAAGGTATTAAATCAGATTGCTCAAACTATCGTGGTATTACTCTGCTCTCCATTGCTGGCAAAATCCTGGCAAGAATACTCTTGAACAGACTAATACCCGCTATAGCAGAAGGAATTCTTCCTGAAAGTCAGTGTGGTTTCAGAGCCAACAGGAGTACCACAGACATGGTATTTGTTCTCAGACAACTGCAAGAGAAGTGTAGGGAACAGAACAAAGGTCTCTATGTAAACTTTGTCGACCTCACCAAGGCTTTCGATACTGTGAGCAGAAAAGGACTATGGCAGATTTTGGAACGCTTAGGTTGTCCCCCCAAGTTCCTTAAAATGATCATCTCACTCCATGAGGATCAACACAGCCAAGTCAGATATGACAACACACTTTCTGAGCCCTTTTTAATTAAGAATGGTGTGAAACAAGGCTGTGTTCTTGCACCAACCCTATTCACAGTCTTTTTCAGTATGATGCTCCAAAGGACCATGGCAGACCTCAATGATCAGGACGGTATCTACATTCGATACCGTACTGATGGAAGCCTATTCAATCTGAGACTACTGACGACCCACACCAAGACCTTAAACCATCTTGTCTGGGAGCTGCTTTATGCTGATGACACCGCCCTTATTGCCCACACAGAAGCAGTCCTGCAGCGTTTAACATCCTGCTTTGCAGATGCTGCTGAGCTCTTTGGGCTGGAAGTCAGCTTAAAGAAGACAGAGGTTCTCCATCAACCTGCACCTCAGGAAGTCCCCCATCATCCCCACATCACCATTGGCCAATCAGAGTTTGCTTTATGGTGAACTTACCACCAGTTGCCGCAAGAGAGGAACCCCGAAGAAAAGATACAAGGACTCCCTGAAACAACATCTCAACCTTGGTCATATTGATCATCATAACTGGTCTACTCTGGTCTCCAATCGGGAGGCCTGGAGACACACCATCTATAACGCAACTGTCTCCTTTGAGAATGCACGCAGGATCACTCTCGAGGAGAAAAGACAATGCAGAAAGACCCGTGTCTTGCAGAATATACCATCTAAGGAGTCTTTCTGCTGTGCCTTTTGCAATCGGATATGTCTATCTCGTATTGGCTTCATAAGTCCCCAGTGTGCCTGTAACAAATGTGGATAGAGCCTTCCTAAATCTTCGTTCGTGAAACCTAGCTATGATGATGAGGGCCTGCAAACCACGAGGGTTGACCCCAAGCCCAATGCCTACTCCAACCTTTTGACAAGATGGACATGATTGAACAATACGCTGAGCATCTGTAAAGGTTAATCCGAATTGCCTAACATCTTTGCTGATTGATGCAAAACTTCATGCAACAAAACTGCTTGCTGAAATAAGTTAGTTGGAGGCCCAGCCCAGGTTGGAGCCACCAACTGGTCTGCTTTATTATTGCCAATGGCTAACCCTCCGCATTTCTGATGACTGCGAATGTGGGTTGTGAAATAGGGGTGAGTTTGTTGATTAATGAGATGTAACAACTGTAACAGTAAGGAATGCAACCTGTTGTTTTTCACTGTTTTGACCATTGCTCCCTCAATTCTCATTACTGTTCCGACCACATAAAGGGAATCAGACACAGTATTCACCGGAGCATCCTGCCATCGCTGAAAAACCCACACAACAGCCCTGAGCTCTAAGGTTTGTAAAGAGTCCCCTGAAATCCTGGGGAGCAGTTGACTCTGCCAGCTCCTACTCGTTTTCCAGGTGATGGTTGCTCACCTTGATTTCTTCCCAACATCCATGAACACTGTGTCACCCTTAACTGGTACCTCAGATCTCATAACCCATTGCTCAACGGCAGCAGCTTGGTCGCAGGGTAATGAGTACTGATTTTTCCCAGAAAATCTACCATGGTTATTTGAAATGCATTAGAGCATTCTTGTAACCAAGTCAAATATTCCTGAGCTACTGGAACAATAATGGTCCGTGGCTCTTTCCCTGTAAGATCAATAGTTCTTCTTCGACCTTTTATGATCAATTGAGTCAACAATTCTGGCCTAGTTACAACTGTCTTTGCTGGCTGATATGGCAAAAACAACCATTCCAAGATATTCAGTTTTTTACTACCTACTAACTGACAAATTAACCCAAGGGGGTACTGTTTTTCCCCTCCCGATCATTACAGTCACTGCACGCTCTGCTATTATGCGATTACTATGTCCTGCAGCTACTTTGTTATTTTTTGTAAAGTCTTCTTTTGCAGTGCAGTGAGTTCCTTGTGCTCATCTGCATCTGTAGATGTTCCCAGCAGTGGCATAAGAGGACATATGTCGTCGTTGATGATTCCACACACAGGTCTAATCCACTGAATATCTCCCATTAATTGTTGTACATCTGCTAAAGTTGATAATTGTGTGTTTACATCAATTTTCTGTGGGCGCACTGTTCCCTGGGTGATGATCCATCCTAGATACTTCCGTGGATCACTTTTTTGTACCTTTTCTGGGGCATTTTTTAACCCTTGCCTCTCCAACTGTACCTGCAACTCAGCCACAATCAGATTTACCTCCAATTGTTTTCCTGCAATCAGAATATCATCTACATAGTGATACACTAGCAAATGGGGATGTTCCTTTCTGAAAGGTTGCAATGCCCATGCAACGTACATCTGACACAATGTGGGGGAATTTTTCATGCCTTGGGGCAAAGTCACCCAGTGATAATGTTTGACGGGTTCAACCTTATTGGTGAAAGGCACAGTAAAGGCAAACCTCTCTGCATCCTGAGGATGCAAAATGATCATAAAAAAGCAATCTTTCAAGTCAATAATTACGATGTCCCAATCTTGTGGAATCATGACAGGGGATGGGAGTCCTGGTTGTAGAGCTCCCATGTCCTCCATGACCTCATTAATGGCACGGAGATCATGTAAAAGACTCCACTTTCCAGACTTTTTGGGAATAGTAAAAATCGGGGTGTTCCAGGGACTAGTGGATGGTACAATATGGCCTGCATCAAGTTGCTCTTGGACCAACAACTGAACAATCTGCAACCTATTGCCTTTGAGTGGCCACTGATTTACCCAGATGGGGGTGTCTGTCTTCCATCTCAATTTCAGGGTTGGTTGTCTCTCAGTGACCACCCCTAAAAAGGGTCTGTCACTAACCTTGTTCCTTGTTGACCCAACACGTCCCTTACGAACAATGGAACAGGCAATGCCAGAACATACGGCCTAGTTCCTACCAACTTGCCATCCTTAAAGCAAAAGGTTATCACATCACGACTGATCCATGTCTGTTGCACCCCGCCCACTCCCACCACACCAGGTATAACCCATTTCTTTGTTTTATCAAGTTCCTTTATTGTAGAGCTGCATAAGTTATCTTTGGTTGGAGGTACATTTCCTATGCACAGTCCTTGTCCTCTCACCTGTTGGAGAGTGATTGGCCAGTGGTCACTTATGACGAGGAATAATTGAGACATCAGCACCGGTGTCCAGAAGCATGGTCAACTGGATGGACTGTCTGCTAGGATGTTGTACTTCCACTGTTTCTTCTGACTTTCCTCTTTTAATATCTAGGGTCAATAACACTTCCGGGGTTCCAGTAGAACCGAAACTCCCTTCTCCAGGGTCCTTTTCTGTTACATGCAGGAACTGGGAATGAAAGGGGATGAACTGGGCAATTTTGCTTTTGGTTGGAATGGTAATGGGTGGTGTCAGGGTATATACCATAATTTTGATAACACCCAAATAATCAGCATCAATCAATCCTGGAACAACAAAAATACCTTGTCGAGACACGGAAGATCTTCCTATTGATAAGACACTAAGACCTCAGCCTAAGGGTCCCCTTAAGACTGAATCTACTACCTCTACCTCTTGTGTCTCAAGAGTGACATCTACTGCTATTGCCAAGTCCACTCTGGCACTGCCGGTGGTGGTTGTGCGGCAGCTGTCCAGGCACCCAGACTTGCTGTCATCGCGTGAGGGGTCGACAAGCTCAACCTCCCGTTTCCCTTTTGCCTACACTTGTGCGTGTTATGGTTATCCTTCTGACAGGTTCTACACCACTTTGGAACAGCAGCTCCTTGAGACCCACCCTTTTGACCTGCAGGACGTTGAGTTTTAAAATGTCCCTTTTGCCCACAGTTATAACATTTTTTTCTCTGCCTTCCCTTTGCCTGGCTTATTTCCCTTTTGCATCAACAGCTTCACTGCTACTCCAACAACTGTAGCCACATAAGCAGCTTTCTCCTGTTGAATCATTCTGTCTGCTCCCGGGGGTTCGGGGTGGGTGTCGCGTGGCAATGACGTAGCAGGGTACGAGCCATGGTGGCAGCGGCCACGGATGCAGTCGGAGAAGTGACGGCAGTCGCGGTCAGGGGAGTAGCGGCGGGCGCAATCACGGATGGGCAAACGGCAGTGCTGGCAGGGCCAACGGCGGTCGGCGGAGCGGGGGCCACAGCAACGGTGCGTTCGCAGCCTTGGACCACATGGCGGGAGAAGCGGTGGCGGGAGAAGTAGTGACAGGGGGCGGTGGAGCTGGCGGCGCTGGCGGCGTTGGCAACAGGGCAACTTGGCAGAGCGAAGCCGGCATCACTGGGCTCGCCGCGGGGGGAGGCGCTGCTGGCAGTGGGCTCCCTGGCATGGAGTTAGAGCTCTCCGGGGCCGAGGACGAACTGCTGGGGCAGTTGGTTGACAGTCGGGCAGGAGTCTGCGGTTTGGAACTAGCCAGCAGTGGGATCTGGGGCAGTTTCACTGCTCGCTAATGCAGCATAGACTGAGGCTATAACTTGCCTCTCAGTTCTCATGGATTGCAGTGTGTCGGTCAAAAACCGCCACAACGTTGGGTAGTGGGCTGCATCCTTAGATCCTTTACTGATCTCTTCCCACAGCTGTTTCCCTATATTTTCCCATACCGGGACTTCAAAGGCAGCGTTTACTGTGGGGATAAACCCCTTATCTCGGGCCCAATTTAACAGCCCTTTGAGGGTACCTGTATCATGTGGGGGGAGGCGGCGGGTCCACTGAGCCCCTAGAAGTTGATGAGTTTAAAATATTGGATGATATAAGTCCATTCCCATGAGAACAGTGAAGTTAATTAACCGTTCCCATAAACAGAGCAGCCTTGAGAAGTCGGGAGTTGACTGGAAAGGTGATAAACAGGATGGAATGTGCAAGGACAGAGATGTTGACTGTGTTCACAGTTGCAGGTGTTAGTGCTCTAGTGTTTTGTAGAAATTATGTTTCTGTACTTTCTGTAGAAAGTGTGTGGGAAAATGTGGGTTAGCTGCCTCAGTAAAGGAGGTTGCTGTGCTTACGCGGCAGACAACTCTTGTCTCAACTCTGTGTGTGTGTGTGTGTGTGTGTGTGTCTGCTTTTTTTATCGACCAAACCTAACCAATACAATGGATACCCCGGGACATATGGTGCCCCGTGTGAGGATCAAACTCACAACCTTCAGATTATGAGACTGATAAGAGTTATTAATGCTGATTTGATAGTCCCATATGATATTACACATCTGGCACAGATAATATTTGAACTGGTACAATTGCAATTGTTCATGCAAAAGTGGACTCATTTGACCAGTCGTTTAGAGTGAGAAAATATGCTTAAAGCCAATGGAGACCCATTAAAAGTTTGGGGGCACAGGCTTTGATGGGAACAGGACCATTTTCTAATCCAGATCTTCAGGCTTCATGGGACCCCACTGTGCTCCGGGAAGCTCAAAAAATAGGCATGACAGCCTTATTACAGACTATGGAAGTCTCATCCCCGAGGTCACGATATAGGACCATCAAACAGGTTAAGGGGAAACCTTTCTTACAATTCATCGAAAAACTGGTTCAGTCACTAGAAAAGCAGGTAGATGACGCCTTGCGGCAGACGCTTTGTTTGCAACTGGTACGTGACCAAGCTATTACTGATTGTAGCAAAATCATTAATTCTTTGCCAGACCAACCTACTTTAACTGACATGATAGAAGCTTGTTCTAAGGTGGGATGTCTACCTTGGCAACTATCTTGACCAGTGACAATTCCTAAAGGGACACGAATAGCTCAACTTGTACCTTTTGTGAGTTGTGTTCCCCAAACAGAGCCTCGTGAATGCCAGGATAAAGGATTTGGTTCTACTGGTGCACCACAAGTCTTTTGGTCAGTGCCGATTTCTGCGCAGCATCCACAGATGACCCGTACTTTCTGCAACACTCAAAGTTTGCCATCAGTTGTCCAGGCGAATGGACTTCTGGACTCTGGAGTTCACGTAACTATCATTGCATGGACATCCTGGTCGGTCTCTTGGTCTTTGGTCATGGCAGGGACCAGGGTTGTGGGACTGGGAGGTACTGCTCAGAGTCTTGTTTCAAAACATGCAGTGCTCATTACTAATCCTGAGGGTCAAACTGCTACCGTCAGGACATATGTGACTATGGCACCTTTATTTGAGCTGCTCAAGCATTCTGACAATCCTCAGGAACCGAGAGAACTGACTAGCAGAGCAGTTCAAACCATCCAGTAAATAGAGCAGGCTTTACATTCTAAATTTGTTTCAAGAATTGATCATTGCCAAATTGTCCAATGTTTTATTCTTGCAGATCATGGTGTTCCTTTTGGAGCATTGGTACAGTGATCTGACCAATGGTCTGATGCACTGCACATCCTAGAGTGGCTATTTTTGCTCTATCAAGCTCAAAAAATGGTTCCTGGATTGTTTGAACTCATAACTCAAATCATCATTAAGGCTAGAAAAAGGTGTGTAGAGTGTATTAGCAGAGATCCAGCTCGCATTGTTGTACCTGTACAATCTCATTACTTTGAGTGGTGTCTGGAAAACAAATATGAATTGCAAGCTGCTTTAGCTGGGTTCCACGGTCAAATTTCTTATCATTTACCTTCACATCCCCTTCTTAAGTTTTTTAGGGAAATTCCAATTGGACAAAAAGTACTACGCAGTGAGGAGCCCCTAGATGGTCTTACAGTCTTTACAGATGGCTCTGGGAAAACAGGTAAAACTGCGGTAGTGTGGAAAAGAGAACATGGATGGCAACATCAAATTGTTCATCAGGAAGGTTCTCCTCAAATTGTGGAACTTCAAACTGTAACTCTTGCTTTTCAATTATTTCCTAATCAACCTTTAAATTTTATTACTGATTCTGCATACATTGTTAATTTGTTACAACGACTCGATCAGGCGGTGTTGTATTCTCCATCTCTAGGTCTTATTTTTCAAGTTTTGTTCAAACTCTGGAGAACTCTTTTGCAGAAGCATGTTCCTTATTTTGTGCTACATGTTCGTAGTCATACCTCTTTGCCAGGATTCTTTACAGAGGGTAATGCCCAAGCAGATGCTCTTGTTTCTGCTGTTGCTTTGGGACCTGTTCCTAACATTCACCAACAAACTGTCTTGTCTCATCGGTTCTTTCACCAAGGTGCAGAAGCCTTGAGACGTCAGTTTGGCTTAACTCATTCTCTTGCTCTCTCAATTATTGCCTCCTGTCCAGACTGTCATAATGTATATACTCCTGTCTATTTTGGTACCAACCCTCGAAGTCGTAAAGCCTTACAGATTTGGCAATCAGATTTCACTCATATTAATGAATTTGGCAATTTAAAGCATGTCCATGTTTCCGTTGACACATTCTCTCATGTGGTGGTTGCTACTGCACATACTGGACAAAAAAACCATGATGTCATTAAACACTTCCGCCGTGCTTTTGCTACATTTGGAGTGCCCACTCAAGTGAAAACAGACAATGGTCCGTCTTATGTCTGTAAATCTGTCCAAAATTTCTTTGCTTTGTGGGGGGTCACTCATGTGACGGGTATTCCACATTCTCCTACAGGACAGGCTATTGTAGAGAGAATGCATGGTACCCTGAAGCAATTACTTCAGAAACAGAAAGGGGGAATGAAGCAATAACCCCCTCAGGCTAGGCTAGACAAAGCTGTATATGTCTTAAACTTTTTGACCTTCTCTGGCGATTCTTCTTATTCACCTTCTTTTCGACATTTCTCCTCTCTTTTATCAACTCAGTGACTATCTGGCAAAGCTCCTGTGCAGATACGGGATCTTATCTCTGGTCAATGGTCTGATCCACATGAGTTGATAACCTGGGGAAGGGGATATTCTTTTATCTCGACAGATAATGGCCCTCGCTGGGTACCTACGCGATGTGTGCGTTCTGCTGTTAGCCCTGGAAGTCGTCAGTGCAGTTCCTGATCTGTCAAAGTTCACACCATGGAACAGTCGAAACGACTGGGTGACACTAATGAAGGAACTGAACCAGACGACCTTTTGTGCATCACTGGCGTATCCAGAACAGTCATTTCACACCTGCCTTGTTGGTATCCCTGTCATGGTTTGAGATATCCCAAAATCCAATTCCCTAGCTCCATTCCCCCCTCCCACATCTCAACTTAATGTGAGATGGGTTTTTTCCAGACAAAACACAACCAGACTCAGAATGGGGGAAAGGGAATATATTACAATGACTGTACAAATAAATACTATAACACATTATACACACGATCACAACTATCTCTACCATGACATATAGTATTTACAATGGATCAGATCTCTTCTCCCCTCCAAATAAAAGTCCAGGAGGGAAAGAAGGACAGATCCCTTCCAGTCTCTCAGGGCAGCAGCTTCTTCAGAGTAGCAGAAACAGTCTATCTCTCTCTCTCATGCATGCAACCGTTGCTGGATCTCTGCCAGCACTCACGAGGGAGGTATCCAAGCTCCCTCGGCCCCGTCGCCAACCAACCGAGGGGTCTTCCATGGGCTTCGTTACCCCAGACAAGGCCGTTCCACCACGTCATATCACGAAGACGCAGGGGGTCTTCGTGACGGTCTGGTATCTCCAGGAGATTCAAGTTCCTTGCAGGGCCTCTGTGCCCTGTCTCAGGCTGTGAGTTTCTTTGTAGCTTGCAGCAAGGGAGGGCCCCCAAGGTCAACCTCCCACACCGTCCTGGCTCAGCTCTCAGGACGACCGACTTTCTCAACTCTCTCTCTCTCTCTCTCTCTCTCCACTGTTGCATGTCTCTGTTGCTCCGTCTTATCTCTTCTGGCTCTCTGCCACCGCTTCTCCGGTCAGTGCCGGCTGTTGCCTTCTCCGGTTGCTGCCCTGTTTGGAGAAAACATCTCCCAGTTCACAACTACAGACACATAGTCCAGCTTCACACTGTTCCAAGTCTCTGTAGCCCCCAACTGGGGCTGGGGGGTCCCAGAGGCCCCGAGGGGCTCCGGGCCCCTTTCCTTGTGTCTCCTACAACATGGTTACTTCTTCTACCACCCAAACTACAACTCTTCTCTTCCGTTTGCTTGTGGTATGTTTACATTTCTGCAGGAGCGCCCATTGGACAGGACTTCAAAACTTCCAGGGGTTTCCACCTCTTGGGGGTTACCACTTTTCTTAGCCTCTGGGGGAAAACAAGGTTCAAACCACTACAATCCCTCTGAATGACACTGAAGCATCTCTCCTGGTACAAGAGGTTGTCCGACAACATGACTTGTTGGAACGGGACTGTAATAGTATGTCTTGAACATATTGATAGCTGGGATGATGTGCTACCTGTTAGTCCTCCACCCCAAGAGTTAGATATTTTAGGGTCACTGTTTGCAGAAGGCTGTGTGTATTTTAATCATTGTGTGGGTTATTGACATAGAACAAACACGTAGTGAGTCTATGATACAGGATGTGTTCCCTGAATCGTCCTTCTATAAAAATAATTCCTTTTGGTGTCGGTACTTAGGTAAGAATCGGACTTGGAGTGCTCCAGCAGTGAGTGCACCTCATCGACTCCCTACAGGATTGTTTCTTATATGTAGAGATAGAGCTTGGCCAGGAATCCCTGCACAGCCAATAGGGGGGCCTTGTACATTTGGAAAGTTGGGATTGTTGATGCCCACTCACAGACTGTTGCTTAATCACTTGTTACTCCATCAATGAAATCGCAGAGCAGTACACCTTAATGAACGATGTGATGATAACATACTGCTCTGGAATTATGGACAGAGAGTGGCTGCTTCCGCATTTCTCCCTTGGGCAGCCGCAGTTAAGGTCTTAGGTACTTTAAATAAGATGACTTGCTGGGTAGCGAAGCAAGTCAACAGAACTTCACAGGAATTATACCAATTTGCCACTGACGTAGATTCTGTCCAACATGCTACTTTGCAAAATAGAGCAACTGTTAATTTTTTACTTCTAGTCCATGGGTATGGGTGTCAAGATTTTGAAGGAATGTGCTGCATGAATCTTTCAGGCCATTCTAAGTCCATTTATAAAAGCATTGCGGAGTTGCAGGTGGCAACTCAAAAAATCAAAGAGAACACTGGATTCTTTGGCTTAGAGAACTTATTTGGCAGATGGGAAATGCCTGGTTGGTTGGTTTCACTGTTCAGAACGGGATGCTTAGTAGTGCTGGTAATTGTGGTTGTGTTACTGATGCTGCCATGTCTAGTATCGTTCCTGCAAAGGGCCCTGCAGGATATGATGCAGACGGTCTTTGTCGCACAACTACAGACAGGGGGAATTGTGGGGGGAGGCAGCGGGTCCGCTGAGCCCCTAGAAGTTGACGAGCTTAAAATATTGGATGGTATAAGGCCATTCCCATGAGAGCAGTGAAGTTAATTAACCGTTCCCATAAACAGAGCAGCCTTGAGAAGCCGGGAGTTGACTGGAAAGGTGATAAACAGGATGGAATGTGCAAGGACAGAGATGTTGGCTGTGTTCACAGTTGCAGGTGTTAGTACTCTGGTGTTTTGTAGAAATTATGTTTCTGTACTTTCTGTAGAAAGTGTGTGGGAAAATGTGGGTTAACTGCCTTAATAAAGGAGGTTGCTGTGCTTACGCGGCAGACAACTCTTGTCTCAACTCTGTGTGTGTGTGTGTATGTCTGCTTTTTCTATTGACCAAACCTAACCAATATGATAGATACCCCGCGACAGTATCATAAGATAACCCTCTCTTAGAAAGAATATGTTGGAGGAGTTAGAGTACTGCTTCTTCTTCTTTGCTAGGTGCTGTCCTCATTTCCTCCCCAACCGCTCACCTGATCAGGGTGAGATTCCAAGTCGACTGTGGCTCAAGCTCTTTTCCCAGTGCCGGGGCAGCACCTACGGCTGGCTTTCCTGCTCCCTCTTTCCTGTTGCCGAAGTTGTTCTCAGGGAACATGGCACTCTTAAGGGTCCCTGTTCGGATGCCACCTATGGATGGTAGGAGTTCAGGAAACACACGCAAATCATCGATATGATCAGGTGATGTTCAATTTATTATTTAAATGAGTTAATTTTTATACAGTTTAGTTTTTTCCCGATACGTGATCACAAGAAGGTGATTGGATAGCTCAGTCTGTGCATGCGTCTCATGCCTTCAGTTCATTGGTTCTGATGCTCTGTCCACGTGACCTGACATCATTCATGCCACCCAAAGTCCCTCCTATCGATCTGCCTTTAGGGACTTTCCCGAGATTTTCCAGGTGTCCCTTTATCTCCAGTTTTCCCACAACTTTCAATTATAAACACACGATTTTCTCATACCTTACAACTATAAACATACAGTTTTCACACAGCTAACAACTATAAACATGCATAGTTTCACACAGTTTGCAAGTTAAAACATACAGAGTTTTCGCATCGTTACAACCTCCAAAGTTATGTCAAGCGAGGCCTAGTGTTTCTTAAAAAGATGGATTGTTCATAATGTGTCCATTTTCCTGCAAACACTCTACACAGTGGCCCCCCTTTTGATTTTACCACAGCCCCTGAGTTAAATCAGAGCACAGAGGGCAGGAATATTCACAGGCTGTGAGCCTGAAACAGGCCTAGAGCACACGGGGCCAATATAGTTAGCTCTTCTTCCCCCTCCCTTTTCATGTTAACCAGTCTAACGGGCGAGGGGAGGAACCACAGAGGTGGTCGACCAGTCCGTGGGACAGTGCTGGTCACTCAGTCTTCCATACTGTGTCCATTCCTGTCGGGCTCCCTTTGGGAACCCCCTTCATTTCACCACAGGGACGGGGTCAGAGCATGTTTCAGGTAAGCTTCCCTTTTGAGTTTCTCTTCTCGCTGTTGTAACTGGTTTTCAGCCACTTCTGGGCTCTGTTGCTATACCGACAACTGCAAGACAGAAGCCCAAGTTGGCAGGGTCGTGTCAACTCTGGAGGCGGGACTGGCCGGGGCAGGACCATTCGTGTCTGCACCACCCCCTCCCCCTCTGACATAGAAAGTCCAAGCTGTCTGACTCAGTCGGCAGCCCACAGCGGTCCCTTGGGTCCGAAACTGGGCTTCCCAAAGCCATGGGGGAAAATCACGAGTGCTAGGGGGAGAGTGGGGGCAACTGAGCCGCCCTCAGTAACCAAAGCAACCATTTCACTGCTCACTGCAAAAGCGGTGAGTTCCCCTGGAGGGTCTGTCACCCCCCTTTTTGGAACAGAAGCGATGGCAGTGCTGGTAGGGGCGGAGTCAGCTTCCTTGCTTCCCACAGGGTCAGTGATGGTTCTGCTTGTAACAGTTGCCACCTCATCTCCCCTCACCGCAGCATTAGCAGCAGCCCCACTCGCCACAGGCGTCTTGCCTACAGATGCGGAGAGATCCAGCGCGAGGGGGTCAGCGGTGACGAGCCCTGTCGGTCCTGAGGCAGTGCTGTTTATAGCCATCACACTACTCTAGCTCACAAGTGCCTCCAGCATCTCCAGGACTCGCAGGATCCTGAACTGCAACTGTACACGGGCAGTGGGGAAATTGGGTCCAGGGTTGAGTTGCATCAGGTCCTGGTCTAGCACAGTCGCGATGTCGTAGACGTCATCGGCTGTCAGTTGAAACGGGCTCTTATCCAGAGCCCTCTCTGGGCTACCATCTATATCCTTCATTCCCGAGCATTTAGAAAAACCATAAAAAAAAAACCCCTGCAGTTAAAACTTCCCGTATGGGATTTAAACCCATGATACTCCAGATTACTAAATGGGCTCTACTTTCCGCACACTAAAAGCGACTTCAGGCCAGCGGTGCGGTCTACTATCTACCATCCCTGCCCTGCCTTTACCAAAGCTGTGCCGGGGGGGGGTCCTCCACCCACTCCCCTTTAACTGTCCATGTCGATCAACAGACAAACTTCTGACTATGAGACTCGAACTTGCAGCTTTAGGATTACAAAGTTGTTACTTTAACCACTTAACTACAGAGCCCCCTTGGCTCCTTGCAGGAACAGAACACTATAGAAGGGGCGTCCCCCTTTTCCAATTGGTCCCAGACCGAAACGAAACCCAAAACTCAAAAGCTTGCCAGCTCTAGGTTGACACGAATCTGCTCTGATCAGCACTCTGGAGAACCCTTTCGCCTACTGGAAATTTACTCTCGCGTCTTCTGGTCCCAAGTCCAAGCCTTTCCAGTCCTACTGTGTTCCCTATTTCCCGGGAAACACAAAAACTGTTCTGCAGTTGATAACAAAAAAGGTACCTTTTCCCTTATTCTGCCTTTTCTTATCTCAACTCTGTGTTCCGTGCTTGGTTCTGTGGGTTCTGTGGAGCTGACTTTCTCAGACTGAGGCAGGAATTGTCTCAGATAAATGTCGGTTTGATGAGGAATTCCTGCACAATGAAATGTCCAATCTGAAGAAGTCCAGGTCCTACCAGGTCCAGTTTTCCCCGTTCGGGCCAACAGCTGTTGCCTGTAGGAACTGAGGAAAAAAAACCTCCAGAGCAGTTTAATTGGAGATGAGATAAGAAAAGGGTTTAATTTGTGCCTAGGCATAAAATTACAAGACGCACCCCAGCCGTGTACAGGTGTTACAATTTATAATATTACTCGTCCAATCCCAAGTGTTTCCACCCCGTAGCTTTTGCCCTGGTCCACCTCCATCCCACCCCCTGGGAATTGGGGCTGGGGGTTTTTCTTTATCATCTTCATCTTCTTCAGAGCACAAAGGGTACATGGTCACCCAGTTCTTGACTGTACTTTTGCGGTTCAGGTCAAGGTACAAATGCCCTTAAACAAAAGGGTCTACTCTTAAAGTGAGACTAAACATTTTCTACTGGAATTCAGGGGATATTGATATGGGAGCATGGAATGGGGTATGTAGGGTATACTGGGACACAGTTATGCTGATATTTTTTGGTCTGTGTTTGGTCCCAGCCACCTGCAGTAGTTTATATTTCTCCCTGCCAAGTTCACTGATAAAACAGTGAATTTGTCCTTGGAGGGAGAACTTCTGTATAAACTGTTTTAATTGGTGTCCTGTGATTGGTTAATTGTCCGTCAAGGACATCTGGAGGAGAAAGTGATGATGAAGTGAGGAAGGTTCGCCCCCAGACTCAATTAAGAAAGACCCCCAAAACACACTGCGCATGCTTGAGGGGATTTCCAAAGTTCTCACGCATGCGCAGAAGAGATGCAGTTACATAACCAAGAGGGTGGGATTGGGAACCTCTGGCGGGGTGGTACTGGTCACACCTCCCTGGGCAGAGGTGCTCAATGAATTGTATAAAAGCAGACACGTTTTCCATGTTCGGGGCCAACTCTACACGAAGGACCAAGTTGTTGTTAGTGGGGACACCTGCTGAAGTGGGAGCTTGCCAACCCTTCGGAAAATGCAGCTGTTGCAGAGGGCTTTATAAGTATTTAGAGTGGGTAAGATCATCTTATAAATGACACCTGGGTGAGTAGGGTGTTGTGCCTTCCTCTTCGGTTTTGTTTTTTCCCCCTTCCTTTTCCCCTTCTCTCGGGTGTCCGTTTTCCTTTGTTAGTTACCTTTTGTAATAAATATTTGCTTTATCGAGTTCCAACGGTGTCTGGTTTTTCATGTTCCAGTATATCTCAGACCTTCCCTAATACAGTAGGGGTTGAGAAATGTATAAACTACTGTGCTAAAGGGTAAAGGAATAAGGGTTGCTGCTTCTAAAATCTACTTCTACTTATATAACTACTTAAAAAGTTTATAAAAATTAGAAAAACCAAAAAACTAGAAGAATCTTAAGGCATCAAGGGAGACACTCAAACTGAGGCAGACTGTGTGGTCTATAAAGCACTGGCATAGTGTTCAAGAGTTCAACATGCCCGCATTTTAAAGCAGTCAATTTACAGTCCTCCAAAATAAAGGAATCCACATTAGCCTCCGGGCAGTGTGCCATTTGCACTGGCACTGTGCATAGCAGCGCGGATAACAGAGACTCAGATTGATTATATTGCGCCTGTAAAATTTCCTCTGCTGTCGAAGCAGAAACTGATAACATTTTTGCCTGTTCAAGGATCCAGATCAAAGGGCTCATTAAGCGTATCAGTCACTGTCAACGGGTGGTTCAGTATTTTATTACCCCCAGAGGATTCATCCATAACTGGCGGACCAGGCGCCTGTGACATGGTGTCTGTTTGTTCCACAGTTTTTAAAGCTGTATACACAGCTTACCAAGCAACTACATCTTCAGTCAGGGTATCCGAAGCTAAATCAGTCTTTGTTCGAAGTTCCTCACCAATCTTAGCCCATAACGCAGTCTCATAAGAATCATGTTTAGGAAACCAGGGACAAGAGTCTCTAACCCATACGAGCAATTTGACCACATCAGCCATTTTAACAGCAGATCCCTGTTCTTTTAAAATGAAATGCAAAATTTCTGCATATAACTTATGTTCCTTTGACACTGATTGACCCATAGTTCTGCAGCCACTCACCTCTGTCAGACGATGGGTGATGATCCCGACACAGGATGATGTGCGCAAAATGACCAACCCCCACTTGTTCCACTTTAGTTAGGATAGTCTTTATACTTTCAGTGTCGTGTTTCACTTGCCAAAGCATACGTGGAGTCATTCTGTTCACTTCTTGGACCATTTTCTCTATGTCAGGATGTCTAAGTATTGCCTTAAAAAGATCAATATCCATGCCTATTTGCAATTTGGGTACATCATGATATAGTGTATAATCAGCTTCAATTAGTTGTCTAGTAGTTATAGGAACAGTGTAATCAAAATTACAACCTATGATTTAAGTAAAATT